TTTAACAAAATCAGCGTAAACATAATAAAATGTACCTATTTTGTAACCTCACTGTGAAATAAAGTAGCTGACCAGCAAACCTCCCAATGTAAGGCTGGATGTGAAAAATCCTGCAGCAAAGTGAAATTTCATGGGAAATGTAGGTAGCAACCCAAATGTTAAGCACCCAAGATGAAATTTAGCCCTGACAAGACATCTAGTCCAATGACTAATATTGAGAATATGGCTAAAAAGCATAAAACAGTGCTGTGTAACCCAAACACAGATTTAGCTTTGCCACCATGTTATGGCCTCTTGCCACAAACCTCGGTAGCCACTCTATCAGGGCTTCCACCTGTGTTAGGGATGGTTCTGGTACTGAAGCAAATACCTGCACTTACCACACTATTCCAGTCATGGGGCAGCATCTTAATTAACTGAAAAACTCAACATGACCCAGCAATTTGTGCTCATGGTCCTGAAGGCCAACCTTATCCAAGGCTGCAGCAAGAACTGTCGGAGTGAGTCCAGAGGAGTACCATGAAGATGATCAGAGGTCTGGAACACCTCTCCTATGAAGACAGGTTGAGAGCGTTGGGGCTGTTCTGTCTAGAGAATAAAAGGCTCTGGGGAGACCTTATAGGTCCTTTGATAAGGGGTGATTAAAATATAAAGTGGTGATAAAAGACTGTAGCCTTAGCTGCTTGCTAGAGTTAATTTTTAGATAGAATACTGTTAAATTAGAATAGGGCCTTGCTCACCTATGCTAACTTACAGACAAGATATGGTTAACTTTATAATGAGGATTCTAGCAGAAACAGAGGCCTTGGAGTTGTGATAAGGAGCTCTGAGGGAGACCTTGAAGACTGATAAAGGGGGGCTCTGAGAGAAGGAGACAAGATGAAACCAGTTTTGAGGTGAGTGGCCAGTGCCAGCTCAGCATTCCTTGCAAAGTTGAAAAGGTCAGAGCCAAGGAAGACATCTTAGTTCATCCAAAAGACCCTCAGTGAAGACCCCCAAGGGGCGTTCCAAGGTGGAGTTATAGATGTGGTCTATGTTAATGATTTCCCCTCCCAATTTTCAGGAATTTGCTGACCTAGCTCATGCATATGTAACATTGTATCACATAAAAGAAGCTGAACAAAGGCAATAGGTGTGCATGTTTGGCAAAATTATTCCCCATGCACCTGGCGCTGTAAATAAACATACCTTTGTGAGTTTTGGGGTTTATTTCCACAAGTCACCTTCCTGTACCTAAAACAGGCTGACAAGAAAGCTGGAGAGGGACTTTTCACAAGGGCATGTAGTGATACAACTTCAAACTGAAAGAGGGCAGTTTTAGTTTACATATTAGAAAAAATTTCTTCACTATGAGGGTAGTCAGAAACTGGAACAGGTTGCCCGGAGAAGTTGTGGATGCCCCATCCCTGGCCCATCCAAGGCCAGGTTAGACTGGGCTTTGAGCAACCTGGTCTAGCAGAAGATGACCCTCACCATGGGGGGTGGGTGGAACTAGATGATCTTTAAGGTCCTTTACAACACAAACCATTGTATGGTTCTATGAATTATGCCATGCAAAGCTTAGATGTGCTACTCTGGCAGCCAATGAGTGCATTCAGAGTTGTGCTGGGTTTTCCTATATTGCATTGCACCGTGCTGTGTAGAAATAATTCTCTGGCCCTTGTAGCACTAATTCTTGAGGGAAGCCAAAGGGTCATAAAAGTCATGAGAGCAATAGATCACATTCATTATCTCATCTAACCTCCTGAGTACCTCAGCCATTCTATTTTCTTCAGAATTTAGAACAAAACAAGCCATTTAGAAAAACCTCTGATTTTTGTTAAGATTTCAAGCAACCGTGAGTAATTGGTCCCTATGTTATCCTTATTGCTAAAATAGCACAGCTTACTCAAGGTTGCATTTGTTAAACTTCCAGTCATGGGATCACCTTATGTCACAAGACTACAAATTTAAAGACTATAAATCCCTCCACTATTATGCCTCTTCCTACACATAGTAATTAATTTCCTTCTTACCCTTTTCTTTGATTAACTTTGTCTGAGGTCCTTAAATCTCAAGTCAAAGCTGATTTTCTGTCTTAGAAGGCAAACATCAGATTTAGATACAGTATTCTGGCCAGTTGTTTTTATGGATGCTAAGTACACAAGAAAGATCATTTCCCTGTATGTATTTGCCATTCCTCATTTACATACTGAAGGACTGAATTAGCCCTTTTGGCAACAGCAAATCAAGAACTTACACTGAACCTGCTACAGAAGAACACCCCTCCTCAAAATAATCTCCAGTCCTGGAAGTAACTATTGCATTCCTCATCACTTACTTGCAGCAGCACTAAAACACATTATTTTTTAAAATCTAACAATTGAATCCAGCTATTTAGATAATTCTCACTAGTAATTTGGACAGTTTACTAGAGAACCATAGAATAATTTAGGTTTAAAAGGACCTGAAAAATGTCCAGTATAATCTCTTGCTCAAAGCCAGGCTACTGTCACAGTAGGAACAGGTTGCCCAGGTCCTTTCTCAGTCAAGTTCATTTCACAGCCTCTCTAGATGTCTTTCCACGTTTACCCACTTTCATGGTTATTTTTTTAATATATAATCTGTATTACCTAAAAGCATAGCCATGGAAGCCTTTACATCCACATTTTAGGTGTTTGAACAAAATACTGAATTTTGTTTAAAAATTTAGCCAGATAAAGTCAACAGGCATGTTACTAGCAATAGCCTTGTTCACTGGCACCTGACCACTGACTACTTGTTAGAGATATGTCAGTAAAGCAGTTTATAATCCACATAACAGATATAAAATCTGTTAATTCAGTCTAATTTCATTGGTTCAGTAAACAACATGTGATATTGAATTAAAAGCTCCAATACAGCCCAAGGAACCAACAAGAAGACTGAGAGTCAGACCAGTTGATTATGTCCAAAAAGATACACATTCTAAGACAGAAGGCTGGCTGGCACTCATTCTTTTTGACTGCTAACTTTTGCTATTAGAGTCCACTGTTTCTCCTGGGAGTTGGCAAAGCAAGAACTACTGCACGGCTCCCTGCCTCATTCCACCCCTTTCTCCAGTTGCCGAATTCAGCTGCACAACTTCTGCAATTTTTCCAGTTCAGCTGCTTAAAAGTATTCCTCAGTTGGGTCTTGAGAATTAACTATGCAGCTATGCCGATTAGAAAATGCTTAATTTCAGCAAATGCTGCTTTTCATCTTCCTTGAGTGCAGCTAATACTTCCATTCAAGTCTCTCATCCAAGTGCCAATTAGTCCTTGTGACACACAAAATCTGACCAATCGTAGATAAAAAAGGATAAACCCAGACAAAGCTTACTGCTTTCCACAGGCACCCTGCTCAAGCCCAAATATTGATTTTTCTAAAGTTCTACTTTTTTAAAAAGTTTATTGGCAGAAAAGTTACTCTGATAATAGTATTTTGCTTAAAAATGTCTGTTTGCAAGATGGCACTTTAATAAGGCAAGTCTGAGGGTTATGAATTTCTATATGGAAAGCAACTTGGTTGGCTAATTTACTCGGCATCTTGTTCTTAATATTATTTAAAGACACTTTTATATCTGTAATAAAGTTTTTTCAAGTGTCATAACAGTTTCAGTGTCGTTGCATTAGGTTGCTATAGCTCCAAATGTGTATTTCTTCTCCGTTTGGGACTAAAAATCCAATATATACTAACGTGACTACTTAAGAGGGGTTATCACACTTTATGTCAATCCAGTTGCTATGCAAGTATGTAAAATTCGCATAATAAAAATCCTTATGTTAATTTTGACTTCAAAAACTGTTTGTCAGGAACTGATTTCTCTCTGATATTTTAGTTAATTGAAATATTTTTTTGCCAAGATAACCAAACAGGCTACTGTTTACAGTTATTAATTAGAGAAATTTGTGTTGAATTCAGTTTATCAGAAGAAATAGGTGGTTCATATTTACATATATATTTTAAATTTTTCTAATTTTAAAACAAACAAATGTATTTTTAATCTGCTCTGAAAACTTTTAATGGCAAATTTTCCACAGCTTCCCTAATTATCTACAGTAGCGCTTAAATACCCTTGCAGCTAAAGCTTTTATTGATGTGCAACCTTGAACTGCTGCACTTTAGTTCTCTGTGGTATGTCAAAACTCAGTGGGTGAGGAGAACAACGCTACCTTTCCCTTTAGAGTGACACTCCACCCTATCCCAGTGCTCCTTAGGTAAACACAAGACCACAGGTGCTTCACAGGGCAATAGTTAAAGAGGACACCATTCTTCACTGAGTCATATATTTCTCTACACCACTGTCCACCCCAGAGAAAGCAGCAGAAACTCAGTGGGATTCTGCCACAGTGCCAGCCTTTCTCGGATGGCAGCTGACCACCTTCCTTTCTCTTCATGTGGACAAGGGTAGACAACCAGAAAGCTGCCGGCAAACCTCACAGAGCTCCAGAGTGAAATTCCACCTTTCGCGGATGGTCTTCTGTGGAAGTCTCCAGGCTCACACAAGCTACATTTACAAGAGGTGATGAGCCACCACGTGTCTGTGACCAACCTCGCGCTCTGCAAATGTGAGGACTCAGCCCCTGGCAGAGCAGAGTGCTGGGTGCGCTGGGTTTACTGAGCATGGCCGGCCGCACGCAGCACTTAGAAAAGAGGTGATGGCCGGACTGGTGATGAGGCCGACGTCTTGATCCATCCAAAAGGGCCGCTACATGGTATGTCCCTTAATCCGAGGCCCTGCACAGCGCCAGCTACCGCCTCTCCCGGCTCCGCACGCGGATTTCCCTCGCCCGCAGTCAGCCCTCGGAGCAGGGCTTCACCCGTGCACACGGCCCCCCGTGCCGCTGCCTAGAGCCCAGCCCTGGGACGGGCCTGCACGGGGCGGCGCGGCACAGCACAACGTGGGCCGGCACAGCCCAGCACAGCACGGCACGTCCCGCCCCGCCGCCCCCGGCCCAGGCGAGGCCGGGCCGCCAGATCCGGCCCCCGCCGGTCCTCCCCGCCCTGCGGCGCTGCGGAGCTGCCGCCTCGCCCTTCTCTCTCCCTCCGCCGACTGCTGCGGCATCCCCGGGGCCGCGGCACCGGCGACGACCCGGCCCCGCGCACAGCCCGGTCCGCTGCGGTGCCCGGTCTCTGCCCCGAGGCGAGCGCGGCGAGGCGGGGGCCACCCGCAGGGCCCGGTCCCGGTGGTGCAGAGATGCCGGCAGCCCGCGCCGGGCCCCGCCGGGCCGCCCTGCGCCCGCAGCATCGCGGCGGCCCGTGTGCCATGAGCCGCCCTCCCCTGGGCACCTTCTCCGCCCCGCTCGCCTCCTCCTCCCACGGAGCCACCCTCCTCCTCCGCCCCCTCTCCCTGCCAGCCTCCTCCCCGCCCTTCCCCGCACTCCACGCCGGTGCCGGAGCCGCGCGTCACTCGGGCTCCAGCCCCGCCGCAGACATGGCGACACTGACAGCAGTCCAGCCGCTCACGCTGGACAGAGGTAAGCGCGGCTGCCGCCGCTCACCGGCCGCCCCTGCCCGGGAGGCACCGCGGCACAGCGGCGGCTTTGCCCCCGCAGCCCCAGCGCGGCGGGCGCTGCCGCGGCAGCGCTCCGGCCCCGCGATGCCGGGGGTCGGCTGTGGCGGCGGGCAGCGGGGAGGCGCCTTCCCGCGGGGCTCAGGTGGGCGGCGGGAGAAGAGCTGACATGGAGGCAATAAAACTTTGTGCGGGCAGAGACCGGGGTAGGGCTGGCATCCCGCCGCCGGCAGCGCGGCGGTGGCGCGGGACGCGGCCAGCGCTCCGGTCCGGAGGCGCTCCTTGGTGCCGCTCTGCTGTCCCCGCCCTGCGGGGCTCCCCCGTCGGCGCCCCCGCCGTGGCTCGGCACCCAGGGCCCCGCGTCGCCACCCCTGCAGGTGGCTGGGCGGAGGATGCTCGGTGGTGGGGCAGCGCCGTTCGGCAGCGAGTCAGGAGCCCGAACCTCTCGACGGGAGCGTCGTTTGCCGGCAAAATGCCGCTTTTGGGGGGGCTTGCACGGGGGTGTAGGGTGTGCGAGGAAGAGATCGTGACTGCAAGTCCTCTGCTCGGCGACGGTAATGATGTTACCCTACGAAAGAGCGGCTCTGCATATCTCCGTAGACAGTTACTCGGTCTGGGTAGAGAGCGCGGGGGGTGCTTGGGTAGCCTTGAGCCCGTGTCAGTAACCTTATACAGGTAGTGTAAGAGGATGCCGAAATCTCGAAGTTATGTTACAATTCAACTTTTGCCTCCGGGCTGTAAAAATTGAACCTCTCCCCTGCAGTGGATTTGTCCCTGTAACAAGGCTTAGGAGAAACGTCATTAGGTTTCTGTGGGTTACAGAGAAGAGTAACTTACCATTCTGATTTTTTTTGCTCCTACCATTCCATTGGGTAGAGAGGTCCAACAGCTCCCAGTGCAGCATCCTGAATTGCAGCAGTATCCTTCCTCCTCACTTGCATCCAGAGGCTCCAAGAGGCACCCAGCCTCTAAAAATTTTGTACTCTCGAAAGCAAAATTGAGGTCAGTGACTTGGTGTTTTAAATGTTTGTGGGGGTTTTTTAGAGGACTAAGATGGGTTTTCAAAGTAAGAGAGGTTTTTTGCTGTAAATCCTGCACAAAAGAAATACAAACTCAGTTTCAAAATGATAAAGGAGAGGTAGGCACCTATTCTAGAACCCAACTGAGAGCAAAACAGCCCACAAAGTACTCTAAATACAGTTTTCTGGGCTTGAATTCCAGCATTAGTAGAAAGGGGGAATCTGAAGTTATTTTTACTGAAATAGCAAAGTGCTAGCCTGCGCTTTAAATTAAACTGCTCAGAAATCCACTGTGTAATCTACAGTTTCACCCTAATACTGTTTTCAGTAAGCAGGACAAATCTATTTTCTGGCAAAGGGTTGAACAGATGGCAATCCATTAGCAAACCTGGCTTTTCAAAGGAAATTATTGCTATTTCAGAATTATACACTCCTTTTCGTTACTAAACCTATGCTTTAAAAATTCCACAATACACAAAAATGCAAATTAGTCCAAATTTAAATATAAGCATCTGTTGTCTGTGTCCAGGACATGCCTAACCATTTGGCAGGGATGTCAGCATTACAGTCTCCTTGGTTGTCAGCCAGGGCTGATATTAGTTTGAGTGAGATAAAACATCACAGAATGATAGGATGTGATGTGCAAAACGAAAATACAGGCAAAAGGAAATAGATTTAAATACCGCACCTGGCTTGCAGAAGGCCCTTTTGTCAGAGGGATACACTTCATCACCTGTAACATGTTGCTGTTACATCAGCTGTAGAGGGTGGGCTGAAGCGAGTCCAGAAGCAACTAGTCCAAGCCCAGTGCTTCCAGATATTTCCGCTGTAGTCTTTCTTTCACAGCCACGGGAGAAGGAAAGTTATAGATGGTGAGATTTTCCAGATTCCTGTTACTTTTGTTAAAGCAGACAAGCTATGTTTACCATCACTGTGCTTTGCACAGCTCTGCTGTAATCAAGGCACAGCCCTTAAAAGTCTTGTATGCTCGTATCTGTTTTGCCATGTCCCACGCAGAGCTCAGCATAGTAAGAAAATAAGAGAGTGTTTCAGGAGAGGTGGTGTTGTTAGCCTTGTGGTGCTGGGGGAATTGCTGCTTCATGTCTATCCAGGACACGTTCTGCATTCCTCCTTGTTAAGGGCCACAGAAACGGTAAAACATCATAGGGATACATACATTAGAAATCTGAATTACCCTCTGACGTGGTCTCCTCCTGGACAAACCATATTCACTGTATTCTGCTACATAAATGGGAGCTTTCTTAAAGCCTGATGTAAATGGCATTCAAAACCCCTGGTAAAATGAATTGCCATTTAAAGGTGAAGGGCATGTTGTATATGAATGATTGAAAGCCAATTACATTCTGGAAGATTACTTCTGTCCAAAGCACAGGAATTAATTTCCTTAATTCCTATCATCATGTGCCTTTCTACCTGCACAAATGTGTGCAAGTTCCATTAGGGCTCTTTAATATGTAGAACAAGTTCACAAAATAATGGAAATTTTAATCACTTACAATTTAATCTCAAAGGCTTTTGCCTGATCTTTGTGTGGTGCTCTACTGGGAGGAGGGGAAGAAATCAGCAACTGTTTCGGGCAGGAAACATAAAGCAGTGCAAGCTATGAGTGGTACCATTTAGGGAAGGGTGGCCCCAAGCGTTGGGCAGCTTTGGGAGGGGAAAGTGCCTGCCTGCTGAGTACAGCGGCAAAATAAATCTTCCAACAGCCAAATAAGTCTTCTCCATAAGAAAGTGCACCCTTCCTACCTTTATTGCAAATGTCTTGCATCCTGAACTGATACCACCCCATCAGTAATCTCCGGTGTTCATCAAAAATATTCTGGGGGAGTATTTTTGGCCAATTCAACGCTTAAACCCTGAAGTTGTTGAGAGCTATATCTTATTCCAGGTTGAGACAGTTACATGTCTTTCATAAAATGATAAGTAAAAAAATGCAAAGTTGGGATTTTTTCTTTTTTTCTTTTTTTTTTTTTTTCATTTTATGTTCAGGGTTATGGATTTTTAAAACATTCCCAGCTTAATTTACCTCCATTCACTCCAATACAAAAGATAAATGTTTAAAAGCACCTATACAGTTGTTTTTAACTTCTTCCACGGGTATGTCTTTAGTAAGAATTTTGTTGACATTGTTTACAGACAGCCCTGGTTCAGTTAGTTGGCGTTTTTCCAACACTGATTATTTGTATTGGCATACTGCTCATCACATCTTGCTGCCTTTGCCTCTCTTCATAATGTCCTTTGTCTTCCACAGAGGTGTTGTGTCACCCTTCCCCATGACCGGCAGTTGCTGCCTTTGCCTTTATTATCCAGAGCCCCAGGTCTCCTTTGGATGCTGCCTTCTGTTGCCTTGCTCTTCTCAAAGCCCTGGTGCAGTTAACTCCATTGCTCTGTGCGTTGCCTGTAATCTTCATCCATTTTCACTGTTCAGCAACCCGATTTCCTCCTCTAATCCTCTGTTCTGCTGCCCTGTGACAGTCGGCACCTCACCAGCTTGATGTTGTCTCAGATGCTGCATACGCATCCAGCCACAGTGTTCTGCTTTTCTCCAAGTGCAGTGTCATCTACCCCAGCCAGCTTAGTCTCCTTATGGTTATCTGAGGACCTCCTGTGTATTCCTGTGTGCTGCAGGTACACGTTATAAGCAATGAGAAATTAAAGGAAGCTTGTGGGTGGGGTCACGTACAAGAGTGTGCTAGCACAGTCTGATGGAAGTATTGTCTACAAGTACCATTACACTCCCAGAAATAACATTAGGAGGCAATAGATTTCTGTGCTGCACTTGGCATACACTTTAGGAGTGGTCATATGGAGGCCTGCAAATTGAAGGAGACATCTTTCTAGCTATGCATTGTAGATTTTCCTATCTGAACTTCTTTATTTGGTCAAACATCTGGCAAATTTTTCATAAACCGTATTTTACTTCGAATTTTACTTGTGCTCTTCCTTTCAAGATGAAAATCTGCTTTGAAAGAAAACTGACCATGTATTTTCTCAGATTGCTGCAAAACTTCAGTCCCAGTTCCTCTGCATAGGATCATGAAAGTGGCAGCTTTAAAAGGGCACTTTTCAAAAGTCGTTCTTGTTTTTGAAGATATACAATTAGCCTGTGCAAAGACCATCTCGTGATTAAGAACAAGGGAATATCTTTTCATATGAAGCAGGACTTTCAACTGCCTTTTGTTAGTAATCCATGTCTTACTATGTTTTTCCCTATATAGGTACTATTCATGTCACTGATGGTTTCACTTCTTCATTTGACTGAGGATGAAAGAAGAAACTTGAATAGACTGAATATACAGTGCTGATATTTTAATCCCTGTGAAGTTTCATAACAAGGTCATATCTACTGGCTATTGACAACTAAATTTCTCTTGCTTTCAAATACATTCTTGGAAAATGGAAAGACTTCTTGCTGTTTGGCTGTAATGCGTAACTGAGTTCTGTTGGTTTTTATGAATTCAAGCAAATATTTTTCCAGTGGAGTGAGTGTCCCAAAACTTCCTGAAAATACTATATAAAGCACTGTGTTCAGTGACAATAAATAAGAGTATGAATGGGCTTGGAATTGCCATCAGCTTTTAGAGATATTAGACAGACTCTATCAGATGTGGTATCAGATGGTGCCTGACCAGTAATATACATAGGTACTTGCTAGAGTATTCCTCCTTCCTTCCTCCTCCTCTCTTCTTGTCATTTTTCTTCTGACTACATCATCACAGCCTACATAAATGGGGATTTTTTTCCCCATCTGTGCCCATATATATGTACACAACGAAAATTGTATCGAACATAAGTTGCAGTAGACTGTGCATCCATTATTGTAATGTGTACTATCTTGGAAAAAAACCCCAACATACTCATCAGGAAGAGAAAATCAGACTCATAAAGTGTGAAATACAGTCCTTGACGGGGGAGCAGATCTCTG